AATTATTATGGAATTATGGTGTCCAGGAAAAAGCACGAATCCTCGGTACCTTTTCTTTAGCTAAACTGACAGTTTACAAAGCTATTGGAATACTTTATTTAATTGTTTTTACAAAATTGGCTCATTTAGGTGTCATATTACTACATTAAAATTAAAATCTGGGAAAAAACGATTTAACATATAGTATTAATGTCAGTGTTTAAAGGGACATATTCAATCAGCAAGAATAAAAAATCTATTTACTGTACACATGTGTGAGCAACCAAACAATCAGAAACAAATGTTACAAGAACAAAGCAAACATTGTTTAATTAGTTGCTCTTGTGCAGCTTTTTTTAAACACCCTGAGCACACGCTATATTACTTCCCAGAAAAGCAGCTAACAGCTTATGCCCTTATGTATTACACATTGTGCTTGTTTATTGTGTTATATTTTTATTATAATTATTTCCTTTTCATTAGAATGTCCTGTTTTTCTCTGGGAACACATCTTTGAGGTCTGACCCCAAGGTCTGGAAACTTGGCTTTGAAGGATGAAAGAGCGAGGCTCACAAGTGCTTCATGAAGAACCTCTTTGTGCAATATCAAAACCAACCAAACTGTCAATGTTGGCAGTTGTTTGGACGCTACTGTGGTGGGAACTTGTTTGCCTGGTCTATTTGTTTGTTGTGATGGTCTCTGAGGGGGTGAAACCCTCCCACCCAATTGGCCTTGGGTTCCAGAGTAGCTGGAGGACAGGTCATACAAAGGCGCAGTGTGATGGGGTCATCACTGTCACAGCCCACAATTCGAGGATGTGCCAACTCCGTAACTGACAGCTGCGTATGGTTGCCATGTCCTGCTCTCCTTTAGTCACTGTGTCCTGAAACCATCCACTATAAACGATCAACAACATGTTTACGAAACAAAACTTGGAGGATGGGCTACAGGGCTAAAAAAAAAGAATAAGACAACTTCCAAAGGCTGTAGACTATAAAGGAAACAATCATCCAGCATCACAGGGCCACCTTTGCTGGAGTTCTTGTTTGTGAGTGCGTGTGAGAGGCTGGGCTGGTGAGAAACATCATGGATTTACATAGCAGTCTGCGACTTCAAATGAGGTGGCTGACGTTTGAATGGGCTGGTGGTGGGAGCCTCTGGTGGGGTTTTTGTTGCCATGCGGGGTGAGCCAAGGATAGTGGGCACATACACACACACTACTGAGATTTGTGTGTAGACAGCTTGTCCTGTTTATTGGGCCTACAGGTTACCATAGGAGCCCAGCACAAACTGACTGTGTAAGAGACAAAGAAGGAGTATAAGAGAGTGATAGGGAGACTGGGAAAGGGGTGCACTATTTGAATTAGAGACACTTTGTGGGCTGCTAAGAAAGAACAGAACTGATGAGTAATACACTAATAATAGGGGAGTGAAGATCATATACCATGACATGTGGATACCCCTGTGTAAGCTGCTACACATCATTTAAAGCTTTCTGAATCTGTCAGTGACAACAATAGCTTTTATGGATGAGTGACAAATGTGAGCCCAGTAGTCCATGCTGTTTATTAGCCTTACGTGAATGCACAAGTTAAATCTGACTGCAATCTTCCAGCTGCAATGTTACATACTAAGGCAGCCAGAAATAAACTGTGTGGTTTCCTGATTCTCCTGGTTTTTACAACTCACCTGATCCAAATATGTGGTCTTGCATTATCAACAAATGCCCCTGCGTCCTTGTGCTCAACCTTGAGGTTATTTTACCTTCCTAACATCATTTTTTCAGGCTTTCCCACAACTTCCTTTATCCTCTTAGATTATTTCAACTCCAGTGAAGCAGTCTGGGAAGGAAAAACATTTCTTTTCTGAACATGGGCCAATACCGGTGATGAGGCATCACATGTTCACATCTCTTTGTTTAAGTCACAAGCCAAAAATACTGGCAGCCATTACTCTACATAAGCCGTTATACTCCTGATTCAATAAACATGATGCTGAACATTTTGTTGCAATTGGCAAATAAAACGGCTGACCTTCTCTCAGTAATTCTGAACATGTCACACTGACATAGAACAATGATTAAAAAACGTCCTAAAATACGCCTGGACAGCCGTGGTTAGACTTCTGACCACATCCAAACATAACAGTGTGAACCTCAGGAGGAATAAATGTTAGTTCAGCACACAGAGAACCAAAGGGAAAACCCTTTGCTCTTGACAAGGAACACCTGTCTGAGTGAGTGTATGCTCTGGAATGAGTGTAAGCCTCTGGGACAGAGGGAGGAGAGCATGTGAGCGAGTGTGTGCATGTGTGTCGATCTGTGTACAAAATCTGCGCAAATACCCAGTGGGGGTCATAAATGAGTCTACAGTAAACTTAAATTACAGATCCAACTTTCCATTGTAAGGAATTGCTTGGGTCAGGATTCAGACGGCATACACACACTGATCCACTTCCGCCCACACAAATCCAACACTTCTCTCTCCCCTCCCACAGCTTTCCCTTTCCCTGCCTGCCCTGCCGGCTGGCTGACGAGCCGTGCTGCCTGGCTCTGTGGCGGTTGCCCTGTCTATCAGTCTATTTCCAGGCTCAGAGCCCAGCGTTGAGGCAGGCAGTCAGTCAGTCAGGCGGTGTGGTGGAGGGCAGAGGGGTTGATGCGTGTGTCAGAGAGGCGCTCTCCCACATTCCCCCGGCGGCTGGCAGCAAGCCGGGCCTGCGGAGGGGGGTTCGCCTCTTTCTCACGACCTCTCAGGTTCCTGCGCTCATCTGGGAGCTATTCATTTCCTGCCAGAAAACAGCCTTCCCCTGCAACTGCAGGAGGAAGGGGTGTGGGGGGGAGTGGGGGGTGCAATGGTATGGGGGGAGTCGAGGGGAAGGAGAGGAGTTTGGCTTCAAAATGAGTCCAGGGCTTGGTACAGCAAGCCCTGGGCTTAAATCATAAAGCTCTCACTTGTCTGGGCCGCAATCAAAGACAGCCCCAGTGATGGGCCAGGAGAGCGAGGGCGAGCGAGACAGAAGAACTATGGGAGAGAGAGAGGGAGAGCGGACCATATGGTAGCACTTAGGGAGCCAAAGAGGAAGCATGGGAGCTTTTTTCCTCCCCTCTTTTCACTCCCTGCATGCACGCGGAATGTGGGAAAAGTTAATGGACACGCATGGCAGCTAACCCCCCGGTCGTGTTGTGACATGTGTGCGGTCACTCCGGCAGCTTGGCCACTGCACTGGGTAATTGGAGAGGCTCATAAAGTTGTTCTCCAGAGGGGAAGAGACCGCTGAAGATGCTGGTGGGAGGAAACGGAGCAAAGGCGGCGAGGCAGGGTGGGAGGGCTCAGCAGCTGGGTGTTGTCCGGGTCACACCACGTGCCTCCCAGACGTCCCGTGTCCAGCTGTGGCCCCAGGGCTCAGGGCAGGAAGCTTGACATTGGTGCAAGCACAGCTGGAATGTTGTGGGAACATTGTGTGTGTGTGCGTGTGTGTATGACTGTGTGTGTCTCTGAGTGTGAGTGCCTTTGTGGAAAATCTCTGCCTCACAGGAGGCCGACTATTATCCCATGCGGCAGCCCTTTCCTTGAACACCCCCCCACCTACCCATTTAACAACCCACTACCTCACCCACTGTGCCCTTTGGCCAGGCATGTCCTCACCGAGCAACCTCCATAAACGCACACGCAAAACATATGCACGCACAGGCACGAGCACACACATGGATTCAATCAAACACGAGATGCATGGCTCCCTGTAAAAAGGTGTGATGGAAATTCAAAATGATGGCACTTATCCACACTTTGTGCCTCTTAGCACACTGATAATTGCAAACACCTGCACCCCCTCCCTACACACACCCCCTTCAAAGAAGGGCCACACTCGAATAGCTGGAGGGGGCACACACACCTGGGCAGAGCAGAGCAGAGCACTACCACATGGCTCGGTGACGATGTATTTAACGTGGTCTTCTGCTTTTAAACCCCCAGCATCGAGGAGTTCAGCCAACACAACCCGGTGCTCCTCTCTATACCTACTGTCAGGAGATTAATGCTGTTGCTGATGTGAAAATTATTTCAAGAGATGAAATTTGCATCATCATTTGGGGCTTAATCACATCAAACGGTTTACTGGTCGTCAGGAACGGGGACGACCTCTAGTTTGGAAACGTTCTTGTGAGAAGAGCCATGAATTATTTGCAGCAGTAAGACGACATGCACTTCAGTATATCACAATACATATGTAAGAGATCCAAACTAAGATTGAATATCCAGAACAGTTTTGATGCATCTCAAAGGAATCACATGAGTTATAATGAAGCAATAACTTTACTGTCACATCAACCAGATCTTAAATTAGACAAAATAAATAAAAGACAGCAGTTTGATTAGGAGACAACACACAATGCAGCCATCGAAGGACTTACTGATCAAACGAGACCAATCACACTGCAATGCACTGCCCCGCTGCTAGATGGCGTAAGTGACCTCTGTAAAGCTCGTTAAGTTTACAGAAGGAAACGCCAAACAGCTGGACTTCAAGTGAGAAACACCAATTTCTGACTGTCTGACTGATTACAGCACCGACTGTCTCCCGCCTCATTCACTCAAACAGATAATGGAGTTACAATTAGTCCAGTTTACTGACCAGCTCAGCTTACACGTGTCAGTTGGTTAGTGCGCATGTTGTGCGTCCTAATAAAACATAAACGAGTTTGTAAATAAGCTGAAACATACTGACGATTATTACTCATTTTCCCATTTTTAGGAAAAAAAATTCTAGATAATTTGCGAGTTTAAACACTTTTTTCACAGTCTGACCAAACTATAGTTTTAAAACAGAGCTTGCTGGTTTTATGTATAGAAAGAAATTTTTAACGCAATAAACACAGGAAAAATAAACTGAAGCTCATATGAGCCACAGCTTAGGCACTAACTAATAGGATTTACTAATATATTATTGTCATTAGCATTTATATGGAGATTCTTATTTTCGTTTTCAAGCAGAAGAAGAAGAAAAAGAAGAAGGAGAAGCGCCTGTTTTCATATCTTTACAAATTTATTTGTCTTCCAAAACGAAGAACAGCATAAGAGCATTAAACATATCTTTGGCGTCACACGGTAAAAAAAGACAACTCATATATATATGTATATATATATATATATGTAATGCAGTGAACGGACTTCCACAATACAAATCCCATTTCAATATGAACTTTACTCCCTTGTTAGCTGTACAAATATAGTGCATACTCTTTCCATTTTACAAGAACTAACAGGATTCAAAACAACTTCCTAACATTGAACAAAGAAAGAGCTAGTAAGTGTCATTTCAAGTCTCTGCGGCCCTTCCCCGCTTTTTCACCAAGGTCGCCACACTGAATCCGTGTTGCCAGACGGGGCTCCGGGAGACACCGCGGCCGGAACTGGCACGGGCGTGCTGACGTTGTTGGCGTACACGGGAATAACGGGGCCGTTTGGCGCAAATGCCGCGTTGGGTATGAGGAACGCAAACTGTCCGTCTGTGGCAGGCACGATCTGGAAACCGCCGTACACTTTGGTGGCGTCTGAGGGTAAACTGGCCGGTGAGGAGCCACCTTTACAGGATACCGGGTTCATGGGCAGGACCTGTGGAGACGAGTTGGGGATTTGCACCATGGACTGGCCGAAGGAGGGATGTGTTGGCCCGGCGGTGGAAGGGAGCTGATGTTGGTGCTGATGCTGGCTGGGATAATTCATGGCATTGATCTGGGTCATGCAGTTGGCCAAGTGGCCGAGGAGTCGCGTCCTGACTTCGGTGTTGACACCTTCGCAGGTGGACAGGAACCGGGTCACTTCATTCATGCACTCACTGAATCCGGCACGATATTTTCCCAAGACAGTGGGGTCGGTGTTCAGGGCAGCTGCAAATACAACAAAACATGATATATTTAAATCGAGCAAGTTCACCTCTGGCTGTAAGAAAATTAGATTTTTGGGGGTTTTGAAGCCGACTTGCTAGACTAGCGTAGATTATCTAAAAGACACAGAAACCGATTAGTCCGAAAAATGCCACTTACCGGTCATTTGAGCCCTCTGGAGGTTCCGGAGATGCTTCACAGTCATCTCCAGGATGTCCGCCTTCTCCAGTTTGGAGTGTCTGGAGCTCTGAGGAAGGGGGACGGGAAACAGACCCGATGAGCATCACGCACCCACTTTCTTACTGTTTGACAGATGAAGTCTGGAAATCTATTAATAACGAGAATGACGAGCGAACACTTACATCTTTTTTGAGAGCATCCAGGATGAGAGTTTTCAGCTGCCCCAAGCTCTCGTTGATTCTGGCTCTTCTTCTCTTTTCCATAATTGGCTTTGACGACTAAAAGAACACAAAATGATAAAAGCTGTTAAAAACCATTTGTCTTGTTTGGTGCGTAAAAAGCCAAAAAATACTCCCTTTGGACTAGATGCGTGTGAGAAATTGTGTCCGAAATGAAATGTTGAAGGTTTTTGTTTTGTTTTAAATGACAGTAACGGGTAAATATCGGCAATACCAACCTTTCTGTGCTCAGAGGCTGTCTTGGGTTTATCGGGAGTTGTGTTCATGCTTGCCGGGGTTGCAGCAACCGGAGAGGAGGAGGTTTTTTCCATCATATCGGCAGGCATCTTTTTATTGAGAAATATCCCACAAAACCACAGGAAATTACGATCCAATTGTGCCGAAAAGCAGGGGAGGTGAGAGTTTTCAGATTGAGATATTTAAAAGTCTCTTCTCCCTTGAAAAAAAAGAAAAAATCCTGAGATGTGTATCGAGTTAGAATCCGTTAGAGCGACGTGCAGCAGTAGCGACTACCAGGAGCGGATGCAGTCTCTCTGTTGGGCTCTCCGCGTGTGGCTTGTATTTATATCTCTCACTGCACGCGAACGGCTCGTGTGAAACTTCCCAAACTTTCTTTCCCACAGTAACTTTCCACCAATCAGGGCGAGGGACACGCGGCCCGAAGGAGGACGGCTCGTGGTCGGCGCCCTCCCATTGGTTGTTTGGCCGCTGGAGCTGGCGGCCAATGGCGCGCGGCCCGGGTTCAGGGCACAGCCGGGGAAACTGCCGTCAGTCTTCAATCATCGTAGCGTTTACATATTAACAGTGGAGCCGCTGACTGGGCAGAGGAACTTTTTTATTTACCGGACAACACATGACCACAGAGAGCAATTATATTCATGATGAAATTGTATAAATTAATGGCAAAAAACAGCAAAAACACTGCAAATATGCTTTCCACATTCTGTCTCCATAAGCTTTCCAACTTTGCTAGGCTGTTGAAAATTTATTGGCAGCTGCTTATAGTGGCTTTAAAAGAAAATAGAGCTATTTTCTACCGTTCAAAACACACACACACACAAACACACACACACACACACCACTGGGAAGTGGTAGGCAATCCTGCAATCAAAGCTTCAGTCATGTGCCATGGAAGAGGCGCAGGCAGGGGAGCGGTTTTGTTTTCCTTTCAGCCAAACTTGGGTAGTTACTGTTACAAATGAAATCTGTTAAAGAAACAACCTGGGATGACAACTCATGACAACTAACAAAACCGCACGGGGAGACCACATGAGAAGGCGAAGTGAAATCCCGAAACAAGCGCACACCGCGCTGAGCACCATCATTACATTCCCCGAGCAAGGTTAATTTGGTTGGCCCTGGGTGGAGGTGAAGGAGGTGGGGGTAAACGCGCACTCTCGGTTTCCACGTTACTGTAGTTTTGAACTCTGTGGTACAAATTTTGGCACTTAATCATCTGTCGGTGTTGTGAATGTGGAGCACGTGCCAGGATGTTTTATGAGTGCGGTGGTTGGAGGTTTGGCCGCCGGGCTGCCGGGGGGCCGCCGGGCCAGGGGAGGAGGGTGAGCCCAGAGAGGGGGGAGGAGAGAGGAGGGGAGGGTATGTGGCGGCGGCGGCGGTGGTTTACATTAGAGGGGAAGGTAAATAGCAGCTGCTGTTTTAAAAGCCTGGGAAAACCACGCCCACAGAGAGAGCTGGATCGGGCTCCCTTATCGGAATGTGAGCCAGAGCAGAGATATTTCTGAGCCCGGAGAGCTCACACGATCACACCGATGCCTCCCTCCCTCCCTCCCTCCTTCTTCTCCTTTGCCTCCTCCTTCCCGCCTATGGCCACCCCACAGCGTTCAAGGCGTTTTTAGATTTCGGGTCATAATTTATTCCTTATCTTTATTGCAGTTAGAAAGAGCAGACGGCGGACTTAAAGACCGCGGTACATAAAGGGAGAGAAATAGTGCCAGCAGTTGTGTATTGCAGGTTTATTGACGGGCATCAGCCCGGCGTGTTCAGGTTGTGCGACTGTGGACACAAACAGGGGGAAGTTTGTAACCCTGCGCTCCAGGGTTATAGATGTGACCTTAAAGTGTATTTAAACATCGAAGAGTCCTCGCGGTGACAATCAAGCTTTTCCGCTTTTAAACGAATGTTTGTATTTACATTATTCATAGTTTGAAGAACATCATTGTTTATGACAAACAAAGTTTGGCTTCGTCTGCTCCACCTAAATATTAATTTCCATCCATTTTTATTAATAAAACAGAGAAACATTGGCCATGCATACTAAAGTGAAATGAATAGAGCTGAACGACATCTGATTGCTTAAAGTGTGATAGGCAAAAAAAGAAAAGAAAAAGAAACTCCTGTTTTCTTCTTTTGAGCACACACAGCTCAGTGCACGGCGCTCCGCTGTGCTCACACACCTCCAGCTGCTGCAGAGACCGCGACACGTGGCGCGCAGGCGACCAGGGGAAGGCGCTCCTCTCGCCGGCTTGCCGCCTGGATCTGCGGGGCGTCGCCAGCGGCTGGCCGCAAGATTGTGAATTTGATAGGCAACTCGGAGCTGCACCCGAGCTCCTCACTTCCTCGGCTCAACACGACAGAGATGCAGACCTTTTTCTTTCTTTTTTTTTAGGTTTTCGCAAGGATTGCGCTCGAGCATCAAGCGGTACATTTCAACAAACGCCAGCAGCTCACACACAGATAAAATAATGAGAAAACTTGAACTCTCCCTATGCTGCACGTTATTCGGGGTATTCGATTCATTTGGCCAGATCAATGAGTGATTTTGAAATTCAGATTTCAAGATGAAATGAAAATGTCGGAATGAGTAGCAGTAACTGGCACGCGGAGACGTCAATGAAACCACACGCGCGTCTTGTGTGTAACTGCAAAACTTTGGTGCTTTTGCCACAAGGAAGTCTGGTGTGTACATGATCCTAAGCCCTGCTGCAACAACCCTAAGTATTCTGCCTGCACAACAATGCTGCCTCTGTCAAACACATCACTAACAGGTTCCCATTGTTGCTACTGCACACCTGCTTCTTTCTTTTCTTTTCTTTTTTTGTGCACAATGGCACTGACAGAGTTCCAAAACAAACCTACCGACGGTCTAAAGTCAGAGTGTAGGTTTTGAAACACTCCCCGCCTGAATGATTTTCTCACGCTCATGTTGCATGAGGTCTCCGCCGGTGAACTGAGTCACGGAGCTTTGGTTCTGTCGCTCTCTCCCTTTTCTCTCCAGCTGAACATCTTATCAGCCGCACCTGGCTGCCGTCGGTCCCCGGAGTGTTACCTGTTGCTGTGTCAACCCCATATCACACAGAATCTGTGGGAAACAGGCTCAGACTCACAGCCAACATGTCCCTGTTTCTAAGAAGCTTTTGATCACATTTTGTGCAGAGATACACCAAAACCAAAAGATGATGATTATCTGGCCAGTAGGCAGAAAAAAAAAACACTTAAACACTTTTTAAATGTATTTTTATTTGGAGCACACAGGATCACTTTCCAAATTCTTGCATTCTTTTATTTTCTTATTTTTTACCTGTGACCTCCTTACTTGTCCCATATGCCAACACTCATCGCTCTTGACCTTATCCTGTCTCTGCTTTTATCTCTTTTTTATCACCCCTCCTTACAGCTCAGTTTTATCTCCCTCTTCCTCTTTTTTCATTCCTCCACTCCTAGTCTTTTTCCCAGGGCTCATATCTTTATTGAGCCCTCTCGACCATGGACCTCCGCACACTGCAATAATGCAATTAGACAGGGAGATTGTGTGGCTTTTAAAGTGTGTGTGTGTGAGAAAGTGTGAAACATTGTGTTCACAAAACAGACAGTCTGGCCCACTGTCATACACCGCCCATGCCTTAATGTGTAAGCCATTGGTGACAGTGCTGCTGCCAGAGGGCACTCCCGGTGCAACAAGGGTGACATGGTTGTGTGTGTGTGTGTGTGTTCAGTGGGGTGGGAAGGTGGGGGTCAAGCTTAAATGCCTATCCTGGCATCACTAGCTGGCAAGAAGAGTGGGAAGTAAGCAGCCAGACAGGCTGTATCAAGGCCAGCCTCGAGGCGTCATGTGGCTGCCTCTGCCAAACTGAGGGTGGCACTGTGTTGATACAGCCTGCTCTCCCAAGAGGCCGCGACACAGTGGTGACTGACTTGACTTATCCAACAGTCCACACTGTGATTAGCATGGTCAACAAGTCCGCAGAAATCCTTTCATTTCCTTCAGAAGTGAGTGGCAAATGTGTGCACTGTCACTGCTTGTCAACAGCCAATGAACTTTGCAGCTCTTTAAAGCTGCAAAGAGGAAAAGAAGCTTGTTACAAACGATCTGAGGCTCCTGGTTCTCTACAACTTTTATCTGAGTGTTTGCAGAAGCTCAGACATGGCTGAATGACTGCTCATGCTATTTCAGTTTATGTAAAGTAATGCGTGAAAGTTTAAAGTTGACATAAACAATTGCATCTAAGGACTTTGACACTACAATTTTTTTGTTTGCACAAAAATGAGAAGCAAAAGAAAGGAAAAAAAGGTGCTAAGTGAACCTTAAGTTCAATTTTCTGTCAAACCAGTGCACACAGAATTACTCTACACTGAGTAGCATAAATCTACTCAGTATACTACCACACACTACTATTCAATGTACCACACTATTATTACATATGGGCGTATCTGTAGTATTATATACCATCTTATCAGTATGCACACAAGGATGTACTTACAACCAAACCCACACAGGTGTGATGTGATACTTCTGTGGACTATAAGGGCAGGATGTTTGCCTATTCACAGTGGGTGTCTACAGCCATCTGTAACACACAGAGGCTCTGTTGTGGTCGTGGAGCTGTATTTTAGCCGGTGATGTTGGAGATCTTGTCAAAATTCATGGAATTGTGAACACAGAAAACCACCGTGCATCAACCACGCGATGCATACCATCTGGAAAGTGTCTGATTGGCAATGTCTTCCTTTTTCAGCAAGGCGATGATCCCACACACAATACCAACACAGTAAAAGAATACCTGGATTAAAAAAAAGACACAGTGGAACACAATCAGTCATCAGCTGGCCTGATCATAAACAAGAGGCAACTGACATCCATAGAAGGGCTTTGAATGTCCTTCGAATAGCCCGAAGAATTGAAGACAACTCAAAGAAATTACAAGAAATCAGTGTTCAGCCTGTGTCGAAGATTTTCAAGCTTTTAGAAATGTACAAACTCTTTTTATTTAGCTTATGTGCTGTATTTACATGTATGCACCTATTTCAAATTTTAGAATTAGAAACAGCTGGAATAAGAAATATGTGTATGCGTTTGTGTTTTTTCTCTAGCTTGTTATCCTATTTGTTCATGTAAACTGTTCTGGTGTGAGCCTCTCAGCTTCAGAGTTACTCTTCTTTCTCTTGAACGTAATTCAACAAAATGTCTCAAGCCTCGTTGGGGATAAAAGCACCAACAGTACAACTGAAAAACTCCAAAGTAATATAGCTTTCCATAAATCATGACCCATTTACTAAAACAAACCAGAAAGAAAAAAAAACATCACAAAACC